ACCAGCAGGTACCAGCACAACTCTGACCCCATTGACTAGACAGAACAAATCTACAACAATGGTGCCTTCGTCGCCAGAGCATCAATTTACAACCATTACGACTCTCAGGCCAACAAGGATAACAGATTCAACAGTGTCATCAACAATCAATCCCACCATAAATACAGAGGTATCAGCAAGTTCAATGTCTACATCCCCCCTAATGACTAAAGACTTTCCTCAAACATCAACTGAACAAAAACCTGAAACAACACCAGCAGGTACCAGCACAACTCTGCATCCATTGACTGGCCCAGGAACATCTACAACAATGGTGCCTTCATCGACGGAGACACAATATACCACCGGTACGACTGTGAGGCCAACGGCGAAAACAAATTCAACAGTGTCAACCTCTATACCCACCTCAAATGGAATAAGCAGCACTACGAACACTGATCATTCCACAACAACAATCAATCCCACTACAAATACAGCGGCATCAGCAAGTTCAATGTCGACATCCCCCCTACTGACTACTGACTTCACTCAAACATCAACTGAACAAAAACCTGAAACAACACCAGCAGGTACCAGCACAACACTGCATTCATTGACTAGCCCAGGAACATCTACAACAATGGTGCCTTTGTCGCCAGAGCAACAATTTACAACTCCTCAGTGTGAGGACTGTCACTGTGTCAGGGGTACCTGTAAATTCAACCAGACACTTGGAAGATGTCACTGCCACTGTCAAGCGTCTTTCTTCGGAGACATATGTTCTTTTGGAATTAATGGAATCCCTGCACATGTCGGTGAGGTTAATCATAGTCAATTACAGTTCTTTAAAACATTCTATAGATTTCAGAAAATAATGAATGCAGCTAAATTATAGCATTTCAGGAGTATGTCAACATTAAATGTGTCCGATTCTGGCATTTGTATTTCTTACTACAGTTTTGTAAAATGTTATTAGAACATCTATTATGATTTTGCAATGTCAATTTTATGGCTGTCATATTCTTCTGCAGATACCGGAGCAATACCAACTCGAAAAGCAAATCTTACTTTGGAAATCGTCAACATACATTTTTTGCCGGCTTTCAATAATCTAAACTCACCTCAATCATTAGAATTCATCACAACATTAGAGCGGGAGGTATATAAAAAATTTTAATTACGGTTGCATGACTTTATGATAGTAGTCTTCTGTATTTATTAGTATTTATTCATGTCTTATACCTTATTACTTATTTACTAGACAATAATTGCAGTAACTGATACTATATAAAGATATTTTGTTTATCATTTATGTTTTGCTCTATGCTGTTTTTATGTTAATAATCACAGAATTGTATTTATAGCTTTACCGCTCTATAGTGACATCTGTTCTGTGTGTTGCAGCTTGAAGCCTTATGCAAAGAAGCAGATCCACAAACCTTTAAAAAAGTACAAGTCATCAAATTAACGTAAGTTTTTCATGAACTTTACTCATACAATTATTTTAATTACTCTTTAATCAACCACAAGCTGTTTTCTTTTGGTAATATCTTTCTATTTTTCTACTGTAGACAAGGAAGTGTTGTTGCAGAGAGCGTGGTGGAGTACATCTATCCAAACAATGAAACTCAAATCCAGTTTGTCAACACTCAGCTTGATGGTGTGTTGAGAGATATCTTGAATAACACAAGTAATCTCAATAAGATTTCTCAGGCCTTTAACAATTCAGAAGTCCAGTTAAATGGTCTCACCTTTCAGACACCTGAGATTACAAGTAAGTGTACTCCGTCAGTTCTAAACATTTTACTTATTGCTGCTTTGCACAGTCACTGTTTCACTATTTAATGCATGTCATCATTTTATATTTGCATTATGATAC